AATAGTGACATGATATGGCCATCATCACTTTGCTCCTTTTGATCTCCATCTTCGGGGCTCCATGATCATCATCGTCACCGGTATGACACCATGATCTCCATCATCATGATCTCCATCATCGTGTCTTCATGAAGTTGCCTCGCCAACTATTACTTCTACTACTATGGCTAACGGTTAGCAATAAAGTAAAGTAATTACATGACGTTTAAGTTGACACGCAGGTCACAAATAAATAAAGACAACTCCTATGGCTCCTGCCGGTTGTCATACTCATCGACATGCAAGTCGTGATTCCTATTACAAGAACATGATCAATCTCATACATCACATATATCATTCATCACATCCTTTTTGGCCATATCACATCACATAGCAATACCCTGCAAAAACAAGTTAGACGTCCTCTAATTGTTGTTTGCATGTTTTACGTGGCTGCTATGGGTTTCTAGCAAGAACGTTTCTTACCTACGCATGAACCACAACGTGATATACCAATTTCTATTTACCCTTCATAAGGACCCTTTTCATCGAATCCGATCCGACTAAAGTGGGAGAGACAGACACCCGCCAGCCACCTTATGCAACTAGTGCATGTTTGTCGGTGGAACCAGTCTCACGTAAGCGTACGTGTCAGGTTGGTCCGGGCCGCTTCATCCCACGATGCCGCCGAATCAAGATAAGACTAGTAACAGCAAGCATATTGAACAATATCGACGCCCACAACTACTTTGTGTTCTACTCGTGCAAAGAATCTACGCAATAGACCTAGCTCATGATGCCACTGTTGGGGAACGTAGCAGAAATTCAAAATTTTCCTACGTGTCACCAAGATCTATCTATGGAGAGACTAGCAACGAGGGGAAGGAGAGTGCATCTACATACCCTTGTAGATCGCTAAGCGGAAGCGTTCAAGTGAACGGGGTTGATGGAGTCGTACTCGTCGTGATTCAGATCACCGATGATCTAGTGCCGAACGGACAGCACCTCCGCGTTCAACACACGTACAGCTCGACGATGTCTCCCACGCCTTGATCCAGCAAGGAGAGAGGGAGAGGTTGAGGAAGACTCCATCCAGCAGCAGCACAACGGCGTGGTGGTGATGGAGGAGCGTGGCAATCCTGCAGGGCTTCACCAAGCACCTACGGGAGAGGAGGAGGTGTCACGAGAGGGAGGGAGGCGCCAAGGGCTCAGGTATGGATGCCCTCCCTCCCCTCCACTATATATAGGGGCAGGGGAGAGGGGGGAGGCGCAGCCTTGCCCCTTCCTCCAAGAAAGGGGTGCGGCCAAGAGGGGGGGAGGAGTCCATCCTCCCCAAGGCACCTCGGAGGTGCCTTCCCCCTTGAGGACTCTTCCCTCTAGGGTTCCCTAGGCGCATGGGCCTCTTGGGGCTGGTGCCCTTGGCCCATGTAGGCCAAGCCGCACCCCCTACGGCCCATGTGTCCCCCCGGGGCAGGTGGCCCCACCCGGTGGGCCCCCGGGACCCTTCCGGTGGTCCCGGTACAATACCGATGACCCCGAAACTTGTCCCGATGGCCGAAACAGGACTTCCTATATACAAATCTTTACCTCCGAACCATTCCGAAACTCCTCGTGACGTCCGGGATCTCATCTGGGACTCTGAACAACATTCAGTAACCACATACAAACTTCCTTTATAACCCTAGCGTCATCGAACCTTAAGTGTGTAGACCCTACGGGTTCGGGAGACATGCAGACATGACCGAGACGTTCTCCGGTCAATAACCAACAGCGGGATCTGGATACCCATGTTGGCTCCCACATGTTCCACGATGATCTCATCGGATGAACCACGATGTCAAGGACTCAATCAATCCCGTATACAATTCCCTTTGTCTAGCGGTATGGTACTTGCCCGAGATTCGATCGTCGGTATACCGATACCTTGTTCAATCTCGTTACCAGCAAGTCTCTTTACTCGTTCCGTAACACATCATCCCGTGATCAACCCCTTGGTCACATTGTGCACATTATGATGATGTCCTACCGAGTGGGCCCAGAGATACCTCTCCGTTTACACGGAGTGACAAAATCCCAATCTCGATTCGTGCCAACCCAACAGACACTTTCAGAGATACCCGTAGTGTACCTTTATAGCCACCCAGTTACGTTGTGACGTTTGGCACACCCAAAGCACTCCTACAGTATCCGGGAGTTGCACAATCTCATGGTCTAAGGAAATGATACTTGACATTAGAAAAGCTTTAGCATATGAACTACATGATCTTGTGCTAGGCTTAGGATTGGGTCTTGTCCATCACATCATTCTCCTAATGATGTGATCCCGTTATCAACGACATCCAATGTCCATGGTCAGGAAACCGTAACCATCTATTGATTAACGAGCTAGTCAACTAGAGGCTTACTAGGGACATGGTGTTGTCTATGTATCCACACATGTATCTGAGTTTCCTATCAATACAATTCTAGCATGGATAATAAACGATTATCATGAACAAGGAAATATAATAATAATCAATTTATTATTGCCTCTAGGGCATATTTCCAACATTTATGTTCCCGGATTTTGCGTTCCTTACGCGGTCAGGTGATTTATGGGACCCCCTTGACAGTTCGCTTGGAATAAAGCTCCTCCAGCAAGGCCCAACCTTGGTTTTACCATTTGCCTCACCACCACCTATCCCTTTCCCTTGGGTCGGCCAACCCGAGGGTCATCTTTATTTTAGCCCCCCCCCTGGGCCAGTGCTTGTCTAAGTGTTGGTCCGAACCGAGCGATGTCCGGCGCCCCCTAGGCAACCAGGGTCTATGCCAACCCGACGTCTGGCTCATCTGGTGTGCCCCGAGAACGAGATATGTGCAGCTCCTATCGGGATTTGTCGGCACAGCGGGAGGCTTTGCTGGTCTTGTTTTACCATTGTCGAAATGTCTTATAAACCGGGATTCCGAGTCTGATCGGGTCTTCCTGGGAGAAGGTCTATTCCTTCGTTGATTGCGAGAGCTTGTCATGGGCTAAGTTGGGACACCCCTGCAGGGTATAATCTTTCGAAAGCCGTGCCTGCGGTTATAGGCAGATGGGAATTTGTTAATGTCCGGTTGTAGATAACTTGACACCAGAACCGAATTAAAACGCATCAACCGCATGTGTAGCCGTGATGGTCTCTTCTCGGCGGAGTCCGGGAAGTGAACACGGTTTCTGGGTTATGTTTGACGTAAGTAGGAGTTCAGGATCACTTCTTGATCATTACTAGTTGACGACCGTTCCTTTTGCTCTCTTCTCGCTCTTATTTGCGTATGTTAGCCATCATATATGCTTAGTCGCTGCTGCAACCTCACTTTACCCCTTCCTTCCCTTTAAGCTTTGCTAGTCTTGATACCCATGGTAATGGGATTGCTGAGTCCTCGTGGCTTACAGATTACTACAACAACAGTTGTAGGTACAGGTTGTGCGATGATCATGTCGCGAGAGCGATGCTTGCTTGCATTGAGTTCTTCTTCTGCTTCTTCGATCAGGGGATAGGTTCCAGGTCGGCGGCCTGGGCTAGCAGGGTGGAAGTCGTTTGAGTTTCTGTTTGTGTTTTGTCCATAGTCGGATGATGCTCTGATGTATTGTGATGTTGTATTCATGTGGCATTGTATGCCTTATGTATGTATCCCCGTCTATTATGTAATGTTGATGTAATGATATCCACCTTGCAAAAGCGTTTCAATATGCGGGTCTATCCTTGGTGGGACCTTCGAGTTCCTTTTGGATAGGGTCGCATATTGGGCGTGACAGAATCTCTCCCTTATAAGCTGGTCATGGCCTCCTCCCATAAGCGAGGTCGAACTAAACCGAGCCAGCCTCACCGGCCTACAACAGCCCTAACATCCCATCCCCCTGAGAAGCCCCTCAGGAAGGCATGGCGATGCTGGCTCTAATACCAGATGTTAGCATCCAACTCGGTTTAGCCCACACTCACCCACGTTCTGGACATTTACGCACACATGGGGCAACATTCAGCGGAGAGCCACTTCATCCCAAAAGTCCGAACTGAAAGGAGGAAGGAATCTCTCCCTTATAAGATGGTCATGGCCTCCTCCCATAAGCGAGGTGGGACTAAACCGAGCCAGCCTCACCGACCTACAACACCCCTAACATGTTGCCCATGCATTCTTGACAACTACTTCGTAATCTTTCTCGTGAAGCCACCTCGCTTCGAACTTGAAACCATGCATCCTACTTCTTTTGTGCGTCAAACTGGTTTCACCTGTATGGATTGTCACCGGCCTGTGATCTGAATGGTGTGGATCTCCATGCAGAACTTTAAAGTGTGGAAATCTTGCACACCATCCCCTTGAAGCTACAACTCTGTCCATCCTTTCTTTTATGTACCGACTAGCATCTCAACTATTATTGCGTCAAGTGTATTTGTCTCCGATGTAGCCCAAATCCCTAAGGCCACAATATGCAAGAGTTGTTCTAAAACCTTCCATTTGATTGTGGGCCGTCGTTGGCCCTCCTTTCTTCTCGTGAGTGTATAGGATCTTGAGTTTTTTTTTCCAGCAAAACACGTCCGTTTTCAAGGGATGTCAAGCCATGACATCTCTCCACAATGTTAGAAGATCTGGCTCTGGGCTAGGCGGGCCATAGCCTTGGTTGGCCCAAACATAGCTCCAATCTTGTATAAGTGTCGCCTCAGTATTTTGAAGGTGCTTACATATATAAGATGTGTGTATATGGGTATATGCGATTGTACCATGTTAAAAAAGTCCACGAATACAAATTTGTAGTCCATGTAGCAGTAATCAGCACAAAAACGTAGAAAATGGAACAGAACACAGAAAATCTTTAAGCAACAGGCACCAGCAAGCAGCAGCCAAAGCAGCGACTTGTTTCCGGGTTGCGTCACGCCTCATCCCCCCACTCCCCCTCCCTCCCTTCCCGGCGAGCCACCCTCCTCCTCTATGCCCCAGCCAGCGCGCACGCCACAGCCGACGCCGTGCTAAGCTTCAGCGCGGAGGCCTCGTGGCCGTGGATCGTGATGGAGGCGGCGCCACGAGAGGCGGCCCGGCCGCGACCCCCGGCGTCGGCGGCGGCGGAGCAGGAGCGCCCCGCCCCGCCGTACCTCCCCAGGCTCGTCGCCGGCGTTCTCTCCGGTGTGCTCACCGGCCTCTTCGCGGTCGGTACGCGCCCTGGCTCCTGTGTTTGGCTGTGACGCGTTTGTCGGTGATTTCGAGCTCTCTATTGGTTGGTGGAGAAGGGATTGGGTCTCTTGGTCTTTAGCCATTTTCTCTTCCCGACACAAGGCTATTTTTTCGTAGTGATAGCAAATTTGATTGACTTAGCAGCCGAATCTTTTGGTTCGTGTGATCGTATTTTGATGTCGATTTGTGATTGTCCGAAGCTGGAGGCTTGACGGGGGCGGTCACCGGCGCATTGGCTGGGAGAGCTTCGGACAGCGGCGTTCTCCGGGGAGCTGGGTTGGGGGCATTTGCTGGCGCTGTCCTGTCCATTGAGGTCCTGGAGGCTTCCCGCGCCTATTGGTGCGCCGACAGGTCAACACCGCAGAGTACATCATCCATGGTCCGTACCGTAAGATTCTTCAGCAAATCAGTCTACAAAATTTGGCAGAATATAACGTTTTTATTTTTGCCAAATAAATGCGATTGGATAGTAACATTACTGCCGCAGCTCGTCATTTTGATGGTGCTTTAAATTAGAACAGCTGCTTGCATTTTTTTTTTGCCTGGATTACAGAAAGTATTCTTCATTGTTTTTAAATTACGTTCGTTAAATATATTATATACTTCAGTCAGTGGATGACACGTTATTGATCCATCCACTGAGGATTTGCTTACAGAAAATGTGTGTTCGATTTCCAGGGGGATTTCGTGGATCAGCTCCTTCATGCTCGGTTCGTGGGAGAGCAGTATGAGCCATCAGTATATATGTCATATCGTTGGCAGGTCAGTTGTTCTATACCCCTAACAGTGCTAATGCAGTATCCTCTGCAAGGGAGAGTGCCCAAATGATAGTTATTCTCTTCATGCTTCCTACTAATTGGAGGGTTCTTGCAAGAGTCGTTCTTGCAGTTGCTCATTTTAGTGACCACGTTTTTTACCTATATACTAATCCATTTCATAGTGTGTTTTATGTAAATTGTATGGTGAGGTCAGCTAAAACAAAATATAATTGTTATAGTGAAGTTTCTACCCTTTTCCGCACACATAATTTTTCGTACTGAAATTAAGACATTCAACAGGTTGGTATTGCAGAGTTTGGCAATGATGATCCGTATGATATCACTGGAGAAGTTTCATCCGATGGGCTCTCACAGGATAACTTGAAGAAGTTGCCATACCATGTGGTGATTGATCAGAAACAAGAGCCAGCTGGTGAAAACTTGTCTTGCCCTATTTGCCTACAGGTACAAGTGTAACAGTTACGTATATGATTTATTGGATTTTACCTAGCAGGGAAATAACTTCACCATCCAATCTGTACTTTATGCTGCCTTAATAGATAGTCTGGTAGGTGTATATGTTGTCTGGCTGAATGGTTCGAAATCATCTTACTTTTGATTGGTATAACGGAGGTGAGAATTATGGAAATTATTTCCAAACCATCTTATTTTTAATTTCCTTAATCTAAGTAACTCCATATGGATTTTACTGTTCAGAAGCTGGAATTATTTATTGTCTAAAATATGTGGTGGTGACATCTTATCTGTTTGGAGTTGGACTATTTGAAATAATCTTATGTGATAATGTGCTTTTTGAAGGTGGGTAATCATTGGAATTCTCAAAATTTAAAACTTAGTAGATAACCAGACAATACTTGGTCGAATTTGTACCTGGAGTTTCTCTTCCTTGCTTAATTTTTGTTTTACCCAGACCTATGTGTTATTTCTGAATACTTAGCAAATTTGTTGACCAGCTCTCGGGAGCAAATTAGTTAGTAGCATGAATAACACCAACGCGCCCTAGCCATGTTGCTGTAGGCTCTACTTGTCACCCTCACGTTATATGTTATTTTCCAAATTGATATGTCTTTTCAGTGTAAGTGAGCAAATTTTGTCTCTGCTTTCTTTGAAATTGTGAGTTAGTTTATGAATGCACGGGAGTTTAACATGTACTGTCATTTATATATGATGACACAACCTCGATATTTGAACTGTCTGGATATGTAGGGTGTATTTTAATTGGTTAAAACAAGGTTTTGATCAATAATTACTCCTTTAATATGTAGTTTATGTGGTACCAAATGTCGGAATCACAATTGTAAGTACTTTATATATGAATCCTGTGAAATTTGTTTTAACCAATCAATATACACCCTTAATATCACCTATGTATCTGGACGGAGGAGTCCGTATTTGCACTTTGTTTCTTACGCCCTGACACTCTGTTCTTGTCCTAGGATATCGTGACGGGAGAGATGGCGAGGAGGCTGCCAAAGTGTTGTCACACCTTCCATCAGCCCTGTGTGGACAAATGGCTCATTGGCCATGGTTCGTGCCCTGTTTGTAGGCAAGACGTGTAATATATGATGTCTTGTTTGTGCTATCTTCTTAGAATGTAGGTAACACAGCTGTGTAAAATGCTTGTTCTCGTGGTACATAGAAAGGTAAATAGCAGTATAAATCAAGCCATGCATGTGTTTCTACATTGAAAATAAAACGGTGATGTACATAAGATATTCCGAGGATCATTCTTTTCCCACTCAGTTGAGATGTGTAAGCGACCTAAGTTTGACCTGCTTCTGATGCATAAATAACCAGTACTATCTCTGCCCCTCCAGGCCATGGTTCTGTCTGTTTTGCATTGGGAACCTGGGATATTTCCCCCATTGCTACCAACAGCTACGAGATGGTATTGGTTGCCCTTATGAATGATTCTACACAAAAAGTATCAATGATTTAGGCCTCTTTTATATTCTTCTTGCTGTTATGAGAACTGATTGTTGGATAATTTCGAAATAGTTGCCCTTATGAATGATTCTACACAAAAAGTATCAATGAGTTTAGTTGGATTCACATACAAAGATTGAACCAAACAACTAAGTCAAAGTGGGTTGATTATGGAGGTTAACGTGCAGAAAAAATGACTATTGTCTTCCCTGTTGATGCCCTAACTAGCACAGTGGCCCTCGCAAATGAGGGAATCATCTTTGCCATTAGACCAGTAGACGAGCATTCGACACCTCAAAGAAAAAAAGTAGATGAGTGTTCGATCAAAAAGTTCTGGAGCGTTGGATGCACTGAACATATAATCTTCCACCAAATAAACCGTCTAAAGTAATCAATACTGCTAGTCACCCACATGTACCAATATGAGGTTATGATACAAAGATTGAACACAAGAGATGAAGTAGGGTTTGAGTTGATATGTTGTTGTTGAAGATGTTGATAAAGATTGGCCTTCTCAAGATGAGAGGGTTGTTGGTGATGACAATGGCTTTGAGTTCCCCTCCCGGAGGGAAGTTCCCCCGGCAGAATCACTTCACCAGAGGGCAAAAGTGCTCCTGCCCAAGTTCCGCCTCGAGACGGTGGTGCTCCGTCCCGAAATTCCTCTCCTCATTTTTTTAGGTCGAAATATCGTATCTACCAGAAGATGGGCACCAACGGTGGGCCAGGGCCCCCACTACCCACTAGGGCGCGCCGGGGGGGGGGGGTGCTCCCTGGTGCCTAGTGGGCACCTGGGTGGCCCCCTCTGGTATTTCTTTTCTCCAATATTTATTATATATTCCAAAACAATTCTTCGTAAAATTTCAGCTCATTTGGAGAAGTGCAGAATAGGTATCTCTAACATAGCTTTTTAGGTTCAGAATTCTAGGTGCCGGTATTCTCCCTCTTTGTGTAAACCTTGCATATTATGAGAGAAAAGACATTAGAATTACTCCACAAAGTGTTCTATTGAATAAAAAACTATAAATAACAGTAGGAAAACATGATGCAAATGGACGTATCAACTCCCGCAAGCTTGGACCTCGCTTGTCCTCAAGCGAAAGCCGATATCGAAAATCATGTCCACATGTTTAGAGAGAGAGAGGTGTCGATAAAAACAAAATACGGACATAGTAGCATCATGCTTATTATTATAACAACAATGCACTTTATCATAAGACTTCTCATGAGCAAGTAAGAATTCATCACAACATCGAAGTATAAAGCATAAACTTTCTTGAAAATTAACAAATTATGTTCTCAGTCAACTTTGCAATTGCAATTCATCATATTTTCAGGAAGGGTCTCATATTGGAGCCTTTTGGCAAGTCCACATACTCAACCATCATTTAGTCTTCTATGATTGCTAACACTCACAACATATATATGAGTAAAAAGTTTCAGCCGGATACATAGAAAGATAGGGGCTTATAGTTTCACCTCCCAACTTATTCACCTCAACGGTGATGTAAACAATAATAACTCATGATCACTCGTATCCAACTGGATATATGTGCCTAGATCTTTCCCCACCACATGGTGCTTGCAAAATATAAAATAAAAAGGAATAGGGGATAACATTTTGACTCTTGCATAAAAAGTAAATACATAAAAGTTAAAGATAGGCCCTTCGCAGAGGGAAGCAGAGGTTGTCATGCGCTTTTTGGTTTTCTATGCACAATCTCTTAATGCAAAAGAACGTCACGTTATATTGCCCCCTATGATAGCAACCTTTATTATGCAGTCTGTCGCTTTTATTACTTTGCCATCACAAGTTCGTACAACGCTTATTTTCCTTTACACTAAAAGATCAAACATATTTAGAAGCAATTTTTATTGCCTTATGAACGGATGTCAACTTACTTGAAGGATCTTACTCAATCCATAGATAGGTATGGTGGACTCTCAAAACATGAATTCGGGCTTAAGGTTTTTGGATGCACAAGTAGTATCTCTACTTAGTGCGGATTTTTTTGGCTAGCAAAGATATTGGGCAAGCACCACCTGTTCGAGGATCTATGACAATATAACTTCTATGTGAATATGAACAAACATAAATCATTACGTTGTCTTCCTTGTCCAACGTCAACAATTTGACATAAGATATTTAATGGGGTCTCACAATCATAAAAAATGTCTAGGATGGTATATTTGCATTTGAAACTTCCCTTCCCTTATTAATTCTTTCATGAATTGCATCATTGACCAATGCTATGTTTGTGAACTTTCAATAAATTTTACCACTTATACTTTTCCTTATGTGATGTCATTACTTACCATAAGATTAGAATATGATCTTTTTCATTATTTCCTTTATTTTGATTGAAACATAAAAGTAAAGAAGCAAAAACTCACACTAAAATTATTATATAAGTCTCACTCGATTACATAGCTAGATAGATCACGAAACTAGCACTCGAAAATAGATCATACTAAACTTTTATTCAACTAAATCACGAAATAACTAAGGATTGAACTAAAACTGGTGAAGATAATAGAAGTGATGGTGATACGGTACCGGGGCATCTCCTCCAAGCTTGGCACAAGCCAAGGGGAGTGCCCATACACGTGTGCTTAGGTCTCCTTCTTTGGTGATGATGGTGATGGTGGTGGTGATGATGTAGTAAGCTTTTCCTCAGGCTTCCATGGTAGGGGTTCACCATCATAAGAGGATGCGCGAGTCTCCTGAGTCCTGAAACTAGCAGCTAAATTCATACCTTTAAATCTTGCTTCATACTCGAAAACTTGATTTTTAAGATCATAGCTTTGGCTTTGCAAAAAATTGATTTGCTCATTGAAGGTGAAGACGATGTCCTTCATAGACTAACCATTCACCTTGTGATCACGGGTGAATTCTGTAATCATGGAGTGATTCGCACTGAGTGCATGCTCCACCATCCCTTGGCACTTGAAGATCTCTTGCTCCACCGCCTCGAGCCTGGCCTCTATGCTTCCCATATTCTTGGGGCCTTGAACGTCCCTGATGTGGAGCACCCCCTCATGCATCTCAATGGCTTGAGGGTGCTTCAACTCCTCCTGTAGGTAGGGGCTGATGACCTTCTCGAATAACTTGTCCTTGGAAGAGCTTGGTGCAGCCATGGCAATCTAGATCTATTAGAAAAATAGCACAAAATAACAACAGAGGATTTCTTCGTGATACGGTGATCAAAGTGTACGGGAGTATATATAGAGAATTTTTATCTTGGGAAACAAGTATACCACAGGAAAACGGAATCGGGAAGGTGCCTGAGGGGCCCACTACCCACCAGGACACGCCAGGTGGGGCAGGCGCGCCCTGCTGCCTAGTGGGCACCTGGGTTGCCTTCCTGGGTGTTTCTTATTTTGTTAATTTTTTTCTAATATTCCAAAACTAACAGAAAATATTTTTGCGGAATTTTTGGAGTCCGTTTACTTACCGTATCTTGTACCTCTCCTTTTCATGGTTCTGGAGTGTTCTAGAAAGTTTATTTTATGTATTCCTCCGGTGTCATGGTTTGAATAATGTTAGTTTCAAGATTGATAGTGTACCTGAAATATAGTGCTTAATTCTTTGTCCATTGACCACCTTCGGATTAGTGCCTTCTGCATTAGTGATCTTAATGTTGGGAAACGTAGCAATAATTCAAAATTTTCTATGCATCACCAAGATCAATCTATGGAGATTCTAGCAACAAGAGAGGGAGAGGATGAGCATCTTCATACCTTTGAAGATCGCTAAGTGGAAGCGTTACTAGAACCTGGATGAGGCAGTCGTACTCGCGGCGATTCAAATCGCGGAAGATCCGATCTAACGCCGAACGGACGACGCCTCCGCGTTCAACACACTTACAACCCAGGGACGTCTCCTCCTTGATCCAGCAAGGGGAGAGGAGAAGTTGAGGGAGAGCTCCGGAAGCACGCGGCGTGGTGGAGGAGCTTGCAGTTCTCCGGCAGGGCTTCGCCAAGCACTACTATGGAGGAGGAGGTGTTGGGGAGGGAGAGGGATGCGCCAGGGGAAGGGTGCGGCAGCCCTCCCACCTCCCCTCTATTTATAGGATGAAGGGGAGAGAGGGCCGGCCCCTCTATATCCCATCTAGAGGGGGGGCGGCGGCCAGGAGGGGGAGACTTGCCCCCAAGCAAGGTGGAGTCACCCCCTCCCTTAGGGTTTCCAAACCCTAGGCGCCTTGGGCCCTTGGGGGGGGGGGTGCACCAGCCCACTAGGGGGCTGGTTCCCACCCATATTCAGCCCATTAAGTCCCCTGAGGCAGGTGGCCCCACCCGGTGGACCTCCGGACACCTTTCGGTGGTCCCGGTACAATAGCGATAACCCCCGAAACCATTTCGACGACTGAAACTGGACTTCCATATATAAATCTTCACCTCCGGACCATTCCGAACTCCTCGTGACGTCCGGGATCTCATCTGGGACTCCGAACAACCTTCAGTAACCACATACAATTTCCCATAACAACTCTAGCGTCACCGAACCTGAAGTGTGTAGACCCTACGAGTTCGGGAACCATGCAGACATGACCAAGATGTTCTCCGGCCAATAACCACTCTGAAGTAGTATGCGTCCTTGTCGACCTACGAGGTTTGGTAGTGACTTGATCCAAAG